TCAAAGTTATAGGCAATTTATATGCAAATTATATGCAGGGAATCTGGCACCCCTAGTCCCAGAATTGTTTAATGGTCAGCTATCTATGAATTCTCATTGCTCTGATTTTTTCTAATTTAAAGTTTCCTATAATTAAGGAGCTTAGATAGTCTAATGGTAAGAACTTGCACTGTAATAACAAAGGCATGTGATTTGAATCCACCAGCTGCTCTGCAGGAGAAAGGGGCAGTCTCCTCCCATGTGATTCGCTGCCTCAGAAAACCCACTGGAGGGTCAGCTATGGGTTGGTTCTGACTCAGTGACACACAAAATCAACAACAACATAATTATACAAGGAAAAGAAATTTCTTGGATAAATATATTTCTTTTATGTGTTATCTTTTTATTATATACAAAAGATGAAAAAAGATTAATAATTCCTTTGTTTTGTCATTTTACTAAGATCTATTATGTTACTAATGCCTAGGTGCCTAGATCTAATTGAATGTGGAAATTAACCAACAATATTATTATTATCACATATAAGCAAAATACTACTGAAGAAGTTCAGGCACAATTTAGAAGAGGGTGTGGCGTCAGGGGTATCATTGCTCATGTCAGATGGATCCTGGCTTAAAGTAGAGAATACCAGAAGAATGTCTATTTATGCTTTATTGACTATGCAAAGGAATTTAATTGTGTGGATCATAACAAGTTATGGCTAAAGTTGAGAAGAATGAGAATCCCAGAGCACACTTGTGCACATGTGCAACTATCCCTAGACCGAGAGGCTATTGTATGAACAGAGCAAGGGAACACTACATGGCTTAACATTAAGAAAGGAGTGCCTTTGCATACCTATTGAATCTGTATGCTGAGGAAATTAACCAAGAAGCTGGATTCGATGAAGAAGAATGTGGCTTCAAGATTGGAGGGACACTCATCAACAATTTGAGTTATGCAGAAGACACAAACTTACTTGCTGAAAGTGAGGAGAATTTGAAGCACTTGTTGCAGAAGATCAAAGAAAAGAGCCTTCAAAATAGACTGCATCTCAGTGTCAAGAAAACAAACATTCTTATCACTGGACTGATAGGCAACATAATCATAGCAGGAGGAAAAAAAATTGAAACTGTCAACATCTTCGTCTTATTTAGATCCACAACCAATACCCTTGGTATCAGACATCAGGAAACCAGGAGACATACTGCTTTGGGAAAGTTTGTAGTTGGGGACCTCCCCAAATTATTGAACGGAAGTGATTTGTTTCAGGACCAAATTGTGTCTGACTCAAGCCATAGTCTTTCTGATAATTTGCGGTGCATCTGAGAACTGAACAATGAATAAGGATGGCAGAAGAAGATTTGATGCCTTTCAGCTGTGGCATTGGACAAGGGTACTGACTCTCCCATGCATTGCCAAAAGAACAATCAAATATGTGTTGGAGAAAGTGTAGCCAGAGTGCTTCTTTGAGGCAAACACGATAAAGCTTTACCTCATATACTTCAGGCATGTTGCTAGGATAGGCTATTCCTTGTAGAGGGAGCTTAGAAAGGGAGAGGGTCAGAGAAGGAAAGGAAGACCCTCAGCCAAGTGGACTTGTGATGGCTGCAATATGCTCTAGTGTGTTAGAAAGTATGAGGATGGCACAGAGTAGAACGAAGTTCAGATCTGTTGTTCCTATGGGTCATATTTGATTCCAAAGCAGCACCTAGCAACAACAACAACTGTGTTACTACTTATAAAATATATTTATTTTAATAAGGGCATGTTATGAAAATTAATGGAACTAACTGTGTAATAGTGAGGGTTTTTGTTTTGGTTTTGTGCTTGCAAGCAACAAAGCTCCCCTGGCATAAAAGAATATACAAGAATGGTGGGAGGAATTTGCAGAGTTGATGAAAAGTCTTATGAAGCAGACATGGGAGGTACTAATGTACCATTGCAGTGTTTGGTGAAAGATAGTTTACAAAGAAAGAAACTATCAGACACTTATAAAGTCCTATGTCATTTGCTTGCCGTTTAAGAGAATCAATCCAATGTAAGGTCCATTGTAAAAAAAAAAAAAAAGGAAAAGAAGATGCTTTGCCAAGAAAATAAGAGAATATAACTAAGCCTTAAACACTATGGAGCAGAGTATTACTCTGGCACAGAGGAGCTCATCATGAATTAGAGTTGATTCAACAGCAGTTGTTTTTTTGTTTAGTTATTTGGGCTTTATTTCCTTTTCTGTCTCAATATCTTTTTTCCTTGCTAAAATTTCTTATTATGTCTTGGCGACCTAAGGTGATTTGTTGTTAAGTAATATCAAGTTAGAACTAACTGTAGCTTAACTTCTAGTGTATTTTCAAAGACAGTAAATCACATACGAGGAGATTGTCTATCTTTTCTCTCACTTGGTGGTTTAATGGTAAGAAATTTCCCTGCCAACACAAAAGTGTATGGTTCAAATCCACCAACTGCTCTATGGGAAAAAGATGAACAATCTCTTCGTGTGCAATTTACTGCCTCTAAAAACCCACTGGAGGGTCTCCTAAGGGTGGTTCTCACTCAGCACATAACAACATTTTTTCTTTGGTACTGTTTCCTAGTAACATTTACTGAGTTTTAAACTGAGGCTCAGGAAGACCTTTCTGTGCATAACTATGAGAACCTCTTTCTTTCTTTTTTTTAGTCCGCTCCTCTGTAGCTCAATGAATTGCAAATTCTAGATTGATCGTACCAAACTCTACTCAACTTGGCCAACAGCTGGACTATATCTGGGGTTTCTGCACTTTTGCAAGGAAACTGATGATATGCCACAAGAGGGGTTACTTTGATTATTTATTTTCCATCTGAGGTCACAGTACTGAGGGAAAAGAAATAAGTAGAGTGAGCCTTTTCTATGTCCAAGGTCTAAAAGTTGGTTTGACTAGTGTTTCTTCTTTCTATTGATGTTGAGAGTAGTGTTATTTGTATTATTTTAATGATAATATTACTTCATGTAATATAAAAGTATAATTTCTTTCTCTTGCTGCTGTGAATACAAATAGCAGAACATATGCCAATTCAACAGTTTTAAATTATACAACTCAGTGATATTTTTACACTCTTTCAAGTGCACATCCATTCTCATCCTCCTTTTCTGAGTTGTTTCTCTTCAATTTAAAATAAACTCACTGCTCCCTAAATTTCCCATGTAATCTTTTATGTTGCTATTGTCAATTTAATCTCATTTAGATAAATCCTGAAAGAGCATTATACTAATTAAGTTCATTTGAAGAAGATTGCAGAAGATATTTTTGTTTTAAAGTTTATCTCAATGGAATATTTTTGGGATTGTCTAGCTTCCATGGCTCCTAAAAGTCTGAATACCCATAGAACTACTTTAAGTTTCAAATAAAAAGCAATTTGCTTAAGTTACATTTATAAAGCATAGTTATAATTTTATTTTAATTTGGTATCTTATAAAAAAGTGAATAAAAGTATGTTTTTATTTAGCCATTCCAGACCAGTGTAATCCTTTGCCATGCCATGAAAATGGATATATGAGCTGCAGAGATGGCCAAGCTACATTCACATGCCTTTGTAAATCAGGTTGGCAAGGAGAGAGATGTGAATTTGGTATGTACTGTAAGCCTACCTGGTCCACCTAGACTGACTTCCTGAAAAGTTCTCTAAGCTTCTTTTACTTTAAAAAGTAATTATTTCCTCCCCTTTTTTTAAGATATAAATGAATGCAAAGATCCCTCAAATATTAATGGAGGATGCAGCCAGAATTGTGAAAATACACCTGGAAGTTACCACTGTTCCTGTAAAAGTGGTTTTATGATGCTTCCAAATAAAAAAGACTGTAAAGGTAAGAGCAGGCTGGTAGAGTAAAGGAGTACTTATTATGTGAGTTTGAAACATTGCTAGGAAACTGCTCTAGGAAATTTTTTGAAAACTCTTGGGTTGTAAGTGATCTTAATTAACATATATGAATCTTCAAGTCTTATGATATTATGCTACTACCTTTTAGTTTACAGTAATAATAGCAAGAGGATTTCCTTCCCCATTGTTTTCTTACTTTGTATATGTTTCTATAAAAAAATTCATTATATGCTGATAGTTAGATTGAGTGCTAATCTTCCAAACTTTAGTTTTGCAAAAATTATTAAATCTGTTTCCCTCAATATAAGTTTTTTTTAAAGAAAAAAGATAATCAAACCCAAGCCAAAAACCTACCATAATCACAAACCTTAATAACCTCTGCCGTTAGGTTTTATCTTTCCTTATTAAAAATAACTTTCTTCTTTTTAGTATAAATCTTTTATCTTCCACTTCACTTCCAGTTGTGGTTTTGGAAAAAATGAAGACAGCGTTGTTTCCTTTCTCAGTATACATTTAAGATCATATCGTTGATCATAATATTCTTTTATTCTTTTCCAGGTTTAAATATTGCCTTTTAGTTTAGTACTTTACCACATCATTTTACTAGTTTATTTCTTTATGCTTCCCTGTCCTCCATATTTTCACTTCTTTTCTTTCTGTGTGATGCCCTTTTTGTTTGAGTTCCTCAAATCAAATCATGCTCCATGTGTTGAATATTTTTTAAAAATGCAGCCAAATTTTAAATTTACCTTCAAAAATTGGAAGGAAGTAGGAAAGATGTTTTCCTTTTTGTTTTATTTTGCTAAGTAGAAAAATACAGTACGTGAAAAAAATAAGAAAATGTAATTCTTTTAATTAGAGAGAAAGTGTAATAAATGAAAATCTTAAGCTTCTTGTTAGCTCATTATTTATCTCTCATTGATACATTCCCAAATGTTACTCGTTGTCAAGGAATGATGTCTTTCATTCTGTGTTTTGTGTTAATGAATCTGTGACATGTTTTAAATTTTAGAGTATTTAATCTTTATCCATTGATTTAATATGCATGTCAATAGGGTTACAAAAATCCTCCTATAAATAAGAATGTCTCTAATAATCAGAATTTATTTTCTTATACCTCATGTACATACTCCTTTGTCCTTGGTCAAGAGCCATAGGCAAATAGTGGTTGTGTACTGAAAAAAAGGTTGGTAGTTCAATCTTACTTGCCACTCTGTGGGAGAAACATGTGACAGTCTGCTTTCATAAATCTTTGAAGAGTTAGTCCTATGGGACAGTTTTAATGTGTCTTGTAGAGTCTTTAGGGAGGTTTGGTGGCCTAGTCTGTAGGAAATTGTTCTGATAACCTAAAGGCCATGCCTCTCTGGTGTTTCAATCCACCAGGAGCGCTGAGAGAGAAATAAAGACAGTCTCCTTCTTTGTGATTTATTTGTAGACTCAGAAAACCAGTGGAAGGTCAGCTATGAATCTGTTCCTATTCAAGAGCAATGAGCTTGAGTTTTTTAGGGTCTTTTTGAGTCAGAGCTGAACAGAAGATTCCAAAAGGCAGCACGGAATGACAAAGCAGAATATTACAAGGAAATGTGCGAGGAGCTAGAGTCAGAAAATCAAAACGGCAGAACTTGCTCAGCATTTCTTAAGCTCAAGGGACTGAAGAACAAATTCAAACCTTGAGTTGTTATAATCAAGGATGCTTTAGGCAGAATATTAAATGATCTAGGAGGTATTAAAAGAAGATGGAAGGAATATACTGAGTCATTATATTGAAAGGAATTGGCAGATACAGAAATATTTAATGAAATAACATTTGAGCAAGAGCCTATGGTGATGAAGGAAGCTGCTTTGAAGGAAATAGCAAAAAATAAGGCCCCAGGAATAGATGGTATACCAATTGACATATTTCAGCTAACAGAGCTGCCCTGGATGTGCTCACCAAGCTGTGCCAAGAAATCTGGAGAACAACCACTTGGTCAAATAACTGGAAGAGATCTATATTTGTTCCCATTCCAAAGAAGGGTGACCCAGCTGAGTGCGGAAACTACAGAACAATATCATTGATTTCGCATGCAAGCAAGATTCTACTGAAGATTATCTAAAAACGACTGGAACAGAACATCAGCAGAGAACTGCTAGAGGTCCAGGCTGGGTTTAGAAAGGGCCGTGGTGCTAGGGATATTGTAGCTGATGTTAGATGGATCTTAGCTGAAAGCAGGGAATACCAGAAGAATGTCTATCTGTGTTTCATTGATTACGCAAAGGTGTTTGATTGTGTGGATCATAACAAACTGTGGCTGACTCTGAGAAGAATGGTAATCCCAGAACATTTAATCGTGCTAATGAGAAACCTATACTTGGACCAAGAGGCAATCGTCAGAACTCAGCAGGGTAACACCGCATGGTTCAAAATTGAGAAGGGTGTACGCCAGAGATGTGTCCTATCTCCATACCTTTTCAACCTGTATGCAGAGCAGATTATCCGAGAGGCTGGGCTCTATGAGGAGAAGTGTGGCGTCAGGATTGGTGGAAGATCTATTAACAATCTGCGTTATGCAGATGACACAATCCTGCTTGCCGAAACTGAGGAGGACCTCATGCACTTGCTGCAGAGGGTCAAGGACTGCAGCCTTCAGTATTTACTGTGGCTCAATGTCAAGAAGACAAAGATTCGCACCACTGGACCAATTGGCAGCATCAGGATGGATGGTGAAGAGATTGAGATTGTTCACAGCTTCAGATTTTTCAGCTCCACGGTCAACACTCTTGGCACCAGCAGCCAGGAAATAAAAAAATGTATTGCAATGGGAAAGTGTGCTGTTAGGGACCTCTCTAAAGTACTGAAGAGCAATGGTGTCTCTCTGGTGACTAAGGTGCGCCTGATACAGGCCATGGTATTTGCAATCACTTGTTATGCATCAGAGAGTTGGACAATGACTAGGGAGGACAGAAGGAGAATTGATGCCTTTGAACTGTTTTGCTGGAGAAGAGTATTGAATGCACCCTGGAGTGCCAAGAAAACCAACAGATTCCTCCTGGAGAGGGTTAAACCAGGCTACTCCTTGGAGGCAAGGATTCTGGGGCTTCTTCTGACATACTTTGGACATGCTGTAAGGAGAGACAGGTCCTTGGAGAGGGACATCATGCTTGGTATGGTGGATGGACAGCGCAGGAGGGGAAGACCCTCTATGAGGTGGATTGATTCAGTGACCGGGGTAATCGAGATGGGCATGTCAGAGGCAATGCGATTGGCACCGGATAGAGCAGGGTTTATGGCTGTTGTACATCAGGTCGCAATATGTTGTACATATGAGTCGCAAACTACTCGACAACACGTAACAACAATAACATAACTCAGAATAATCTGGATGGCAATAGGTTTAGTTTTGAGTTGTATTTGTGAAACCTAAGTGATAAAGTACACAACTTTCAGCAGAGTATGTGTACAAAGAGCACCATTGGTTCTTAGACAATATGCAGAAATGCTTGGGATCAATTTGCCAGTAATTCTCTAAAAATAAGACTAAAACTTTTCATCAGACATTAGATGTCAGTGTAGAGCTACAAAATCACTGTACTGCAATTTGAACTTATCTGATCTCAGTTGTTTCCTATGAGATGAATCATATGAAATAATCTTAATTGTATATTTCTCTTTTCTTTGGAAGTGTGGATATAATAGTTCTTTTTAAAAAATTAAAAATTTTTATTTTGAGTTCATTTGGATTCAACTGCTATTGTAAGAAATAATAGTTATGTACTTTTTAGAGTACACATACTTTTAAAACTCAGTTTCTTCTAGTCCCAATAACTTGAGAAACTGTATCCCATACAATTCCACATTCAGAATGTTAATACTTAGGCAGTCAAGGTTCCCAGAGATCCTTCCTGTTGCCCTTTGATAGCTATTCATACTTCACGCCCCTAGTTTCCATCTCTGACTTTAGCGACCATTAATATTTTTCTCATTTCTGTAATTTTATCATTTTAAGAACTTTATATCCCAAAGACATGCTGCTCCATGAGAGAGGGATGGAGAATCTCCTATGCAATTAACTTTCTCTGAAAACCAACTGGAAGGTCAGCTATGGGTCAGTTCTGACTGGACAGAACACAACACCACCACGGACATACACATTTACAGATCAATTGTTTGTCTATTTGCAAAGAAATAATGTAGAACAGATGATGATGAGCTGCCTTCACTAAATTTTTATTGTTTGAATGAAAGTTTTTTAAGATTGGTTTTTTATTTACTCATTTATACAAATTTATCCCCCCCTTTCCTCCCCTTTCATTCCACATTTTATATCCTGTTCCAGATTGTTAGTTGAGTAATGTTTTATCATCCATTCTTTTCAAATTGACCTTCATTTCCCCTGTTCCAATGCAGTGTTCCTTACATATCTATTTCGCATAACTGTTTTAGAAGCAATGGTCTTATATAGTATTTGTGACTGACTTAATTTACTAAGCATAATATATTCTAGACTCATCCAGGTTTCATACTGTTTCTTGAGTTCTTCATTGTTTTTCAATGCTGTGTAATACTCGATCGTGCGGAACTCCATAGTTCGTTTCCCTATCTGTTTGTTTGCTGATGGACATTTAGGCTGCTTCCATCTCTTTGCTATTATGAATAATGCTACAATAAACGTGATTGTGCATACATGTTTATGCCACATCTCTGTTTTCTTTAGGGTATACTTCTAATAGTAGGGTAGGTGAGTCAAATGGTGTTTCTTTTTTTCAGTCTTCTGAAGAACCTGACTACGTTCCATAGTGACTGTACTATTTTACACTCCTCCCAGCAGCTTCATTATTTTTTGTGCATGATGATGTGGAATACATCTACAGTTAAGATCAAATTCCAAAACACCCACTTATGAACACATTATAAGCATATAGTTGAATCACTCTCCCATTTCTTTCCATAGTATGACATAGTAGATGAGAAGTCAATTAAAGTCTTTTCCTCCTTTTACATAAATACAGAAGAACATGGTCCCTATCAATATAAATCCCTATTTTTGAATCAATATATTGTATTGACTATACAATGATAGAGTTAATATTTTGTTATTGCCAGGTCACTCTCTTATCCAATTATATTAAACTAGATTGTTGTTGTTGTTGTTATGTGCCGTCGAGTCGCTTGCGACTCATAGCGACCCTATGTACAACAGCCCTAAACTCTGCTCTGTCCTGTGCCAATCGCACTGTCTCTGACACTCCCATCCTGATTACCCCAGTCACTGAATCAATCCACCTCGTAGAGGGCCTTTCCCTCCTGCACTGTCCCTCCACCCTCCCAAGCATGATGTCCTTCTCCAAGGACCGGTCTCTCCTCACAACATGTCCAAAGTATGTTAGACGGAGCCTCAGAATCCTTGCCTCCAAGGAGCCACCCGGTTTAACCCTTTCCAGGACAAATCTGTTTGTTAAACTAGAGTAAAAGTTACTAATTTAATATTTTGTATTTAACTAATATTTTTTATTTTATTTTGTTATTGCCAGGTCACGTTCTTGTCCTTTTATATAAAACTAAATTAAAAGTTACTAATCAGGGGTTCTTTATTAGCAGCATCTTTTAATGGCAAAAGTTTTGAAAGATATTTTGGTTTTCTTTATAGATGTGGACGAATGCTCTCTAATGCCAAGTATTTGTGGCTCCGCTGTGTGCAAGAATATCCCTGGAGACTTTGAATGTGAATGTCCTGAAGGCTATGAATACAATCTCATTTCAAAGTCGTGTGAAGGTAGAGTTGTAGTGATATAGCATTGTGACTGGAGAGGGGACATTAAGCACTGAGTTGAATTTTATAACAGTGGTTTTATTGAAAATCAAGTCAAATTTTCTAAATTGTAACACTTACGAACCAACTTGATTGAGTGGGCAACCACCAACCTTGTTCCAGAATGAAGTCTGTACGACACATGGTCCTTAGATTTAGTTAAATAATCTGATTGTGTAAGAGGACACCTTGTATGATGAAAGCAATACATATCTTGACATTTAAATAAAATTCAAAGGTAAAGAAGGTTTCAGTCTGAAAGGAAAATCACAGCAAAAGAAGTACCCAAGTTGAAAAATTACATTGGTGGATAAAGGAATGTGGTTAGAAATCTCAAGTTTTATTGCCAAGTTTTTCAAAGATCTGGGTAGACACAAGTGAATCATTTACTCTAAAATGGGAAATGATATAGTTTTGCTATAAATTAAAAAAATCTATAAAATGTCAACATAATAAAATGATTATTAAGATACTAGTAGACATTAGACATTTGACTGTGTGATCATAACAAATTATGGCTAACATTGAAAAGAATAGGAATCCCAGAACACTTAATTGTGCTTGTGCAAAACCTGTACATAGACCAAAACACTATTATGTGAACAGAGCAAGGCAACACTGTATTATTTGAAATTAGGAAAGGTGTGTGTCATTCTTATTCTAGTCTATGTGCTAAGCAAATTATTAGAGGACCTGCACTCTATGAAGAAGAATGTGGTTTCGGATTGGAGGAAGACCCATTAATAATCTTCATTATTGGATGATACAACCGTGCTTACTGAAAGTGAGGAGGCCTTGAAGCACATGCTACAGAAGATTAAAGACATGGATTGCATCTCAGCATCAAGAAAACAGAAATGCTCATCACTGGACCAATAAGGAACATTATGATAGATAGGAAGACCCTCAATGAGGTGGATTGACATGATGACTGCAGCTATGAGCTTGAGTGTGTCAGAGAGTGTGAGGATGACACAGGTTAGGACAGGGTTCAGATCTGTTGGTCACATGGCAGCTAACAGCAGCACAAAATATGTGAAAATACTGATGTTGTTGTTATGTGCCATCGAGTCACCTGTGACTCATAGCAACCCTGTGTACAAGAGCCCTAAACGCCGTTCTATCCTGTGCCAACCTCGCCGTCTCAGACATACTCATTCCCCACCACTCCAGTCACAGAATCGATCCGTCTCATCGAGGGTCTTCCTCTCCTGCACCGTCCCTCCACTCTCCCTAACATGAGGTCCCTCTCCAAAGACCAGTCCCTCCTTGCAACATGCCCAAAGTATGTCAGACGAAGCTTCAGAATCCTTGACTCCAACGAGCATTCTGGTTTCACCCTCTCCAGGACAAACCTGTTTGTTCTCCTAGCAGTCCATGGTATATTCAACATTCTTCTCCAGCATCACAGCTCAAAAGCATCAATTCTTTTTCTGTCATCCCTAGTCGCTGTCCATCTCTCTGATGCATAGCATGTAATTGCAAAGACTATATCCTGGATCAGGCACACCTGATCAGTCTCCAGCCTGATGTCATTGCTCTTCAGTACTCTTGCGAGGTCCCTCACAGCTGACTTTCCCAGTGCAATTTGTCTCCTGATTTCCTGGCTGCTGTTACCAAGAGCGTTGACTGTGGAACTAAGTAAACTAAAACTGTTAACTCTCTCAATCTCTTCACCATCCATGCTGATGCTGCCAGTTGGCCCAGTGGTGAGAGTCTTTGTTTTCTTGATGTTGAGTTTTACTCCATATTGAAGACTGCAGTCCTTGACCTTCTGCAGCAAGCGCTTCAGGTCCTCCTCAGTTTCAGCAATACTGACTATTGATAAGCAGTGTCAATTCTCTAATGGATATAGGATAGGTAGCCCCTTGGAGTTTGTTATTGCTTCATCTATACTGCAAAGATTACAGTCAGTCATGTGTCCAGTGTTTGTGTAAATATGTTCATGGGATTTATCAAATATATCCAAACTATCTCACTTTCTCCTTTAAATTTTCCAGAATTTAAAAATACATGCAGTATTTTGACTAACACTAATCAAACAGAAAATAATTTTAGACTATTTTTTTCTCCCAAATATATTTGTTCCTTTCAATTTTGCTCTCTTTCCTGCCACCACACACTCAACAAAAATTGCTCTCTTTTGCACCTCATTTCCATACTCCCATAACTCCAGCTGGAAATGAAAGCCTTAAGCTTTTGCAGATTTATCATCAGCCAATTTCACCTTTATTTTACTTCTATTCAGTGAATGCTAAGACTTTTAATGTATTCATGTATAATATTGTATAAATTCATTCTTACATAAATTTATATGGCATACAATTATTAATAATACTGAAGGCTCACTAAGAATTCTACGGCAGTCTCTTAAGGAAATGATATGCTATAACTTGTTGTTAGGTGTCATCAAGTTGACTACGTCTCCTGACTCTATGAACAATAAATCTGAAGTTTGCTCTACCTTGCACCATCCTTACAATCTCCTTGGTGCTCAAGCCCTTGTTGTAGTCACTGTCAGTCCATCTCATTGAAAGGTTTCCCTTCATTTGGTGACCTTCTACCTTACCCCACATGATGTTTTTTATATGGACTGGCCTCTTCTGACAAAATACCCAAAGAACGTGAGACAGGTTTTCACCATCTCTGCCTTGAAGGAATACCTTGGTTGAATTTTCTCAAGACGGGATTGTTTTGTTTTTCTTAACAGTCCATAATATAGTCAATACTCTTCATCAATACCACAATTCAAAGACATCAGTTTTTTTCCTGTCTTCTTTGTTCATTGCCCAACTTTCAGAGGCACAGGAAACAATGGAAAAAACCTAATTTGGATCAGGAACACATCTCACTATTTAAACTGCATATGCTATACTGTTGTTGTGTGCTGTCAAGTTGGAACCAACTCACACCTGACCTGCTAGTGGGTTTGCAGAGGCAGTAGACTGCATGGGAGGAGATTGTCCATCGTTGTATAGGGAGTAGCTAGCTAGTGGATTTGAATCTCCTGCTTTTGGGATTGCACTGCAGATTCTTACCACTAAGCCACCAGATAGCCCTATACTAGTGTTTATGAGTTAGAAGATTCATCAAGTTCAGAGTGTGGCCATTGAAACTGTCTAAGAAACAAATCTCTATGCACATCCAAAAACTTTTCCAACAGGGTAAAAAGGGAAGCCACAGTCTGTGAAAAAAAAATAAATATGGTAATGACATGTCTGATAAGGGATTTATATCTAGAATTTATAGAATATTCCAACACCTCAACAAGATAAAAGTAAATAACTCAGTCACAAAATGGCCACAGAATATGAAAAGACACTTTACAAAAGAAGATGTTCAGATGGCAAACAAACACATGAAGAAATGTTCAAAATCCCTAGCTCTAAGAGAAATGCAAATTAAAACAACTGTGAGATATCATCTCACCCCAGTAAAAATAGTGAGGTTCAACAGAGCAACAAACAACAAATGCTGGTGAGGTTGTGGAGAAATTGAAATCCTTATTCTTTGTTGGTGGGAGTGTAAAGTGATGCAACCATTACGGAAGACAATATGGCGCTTTCTCAAAACATTGGAAATAAAATACCATTTGACCCAGCAATTGAACTACTGGGAATATACCCTAAAAAAAACCAGAACTTCCAGCCAAACAGATATATGCACACACATGTTTATTTCTGCCATGTTCACAATAACAAAGAGATAGAAGTAACACGAGTGTCCATCAGCAAATGAATGGATAAAGAAGCAGTTGTATACTACACAATGGAATACTATACCGCACTGAAAAACCAGGAAGTCATAAAATATTATACAAAATGGGTTACCCTGGAGGACATTATAATGAGTGAATTATCTCAGTCACAAAAGGACAGATACTACATAAAGCCACTGTAAACAGGACTGACATGGGAATTGGGAGGAAACTAAGAAAAGAGGGTATAAATAATGAACACTGCATTGAAATAGATAAGGGAAAGAACTGTCTAAAAGAAATGTATGGTCCAAGCGCTGGCTGAAAATCACCTGTGACTTCATCCATAGCCACTGGTGAGAGTCAGCATCCAGAGCCATCAGGGGCTTTAAGCTCGTTGCCCACTGCTGTGGTGTGGACAGCTGAAACCCAGGCCCCGACAGGCACCTGGTGGGGGGGGAGCCCAGACTCTACTTCATGCTCTGCTGGAGAAGGAGGGACAGTCTCCTGTACCAGTCAGATCCAATTTGATGGTACACACACACACACACACACAC